GGAGGAGGTGTGGCCTTGTTGGAGGGAGTGGGTCACCGGTGGTGGGTAGGGTTTGAGGTCTCAGAAGCTCAAGCCAGGCCTACTGGATCACTTCCTGATGCCTGCCAATCCAGATGTAGACCTCCCATGCCTGCCTGTGCACTGCCATGCTTCCCACCATGGTGACAACAGGCTGAACCTCTGAACTGTAAGCCAGCCCCAATTAAATGTTTTCCTTTATAAGAGTTGCTGTGGTCACAGCATCTGTTCATAGCAGTAAAACCCTAACTAAGACACCACAGCAATAGCACCCTGGCTAGGACAGACAGGAAGAAAAGCAATTCAGTCTCACTGCTACTAAAAAGTTGACAGACAAAAACCTTCATTGTGGGCAGTTTGATCATTTGAAATGCATACTCAGGCTCGTGCAGCGCAGTGAGTCAGCCACTTACACTCTGCAGACCGCTGCACTTGGCAAATGTTTCAGGAGCATGTGTCTTTGACACAGCAATTGTCATCCTCCCAGACACAGTGTCAACAGAACAGCTGCCTGCCGACATTACCTTAGTATCAGTTCTGTTTTGTTTTCCTGGATTTTGGTTTGGTTTGGTTTGGTTTTGAGGCAGGGTCTCAATATGTAGCTCAGGCTGACCTCAAACTCAATCCTTCTGCCTCTGCCTCAGCCTCCTGAGGGTTGGGGACACAGGAGAACATCACCACATCAGCTCAGCATTGCTGATAATAAGGAAAACTTAGAACCTTGTAAACACCCAGCATGTTAGTTTCCTTCCTGTCTCTGAGATAAACGGCTTCAAGGAGAAATGGCTTGTTTTGGCTTGCAGTTTCAGGGGCAACGGGGCCCATCAGAGCAAAGAAGATACAGCAGCAGAACACGGGGCTGGCAGTCAGCAAGCAGAAAAGGAACAGGAAGTGGGGCCAGGCTATAAAACCTCAACACCAACCTGAGTGATTATTTCCTCTATCAAGATCAAGGTTCTACCTCCTAAATCAGTGCTTCTCAGTCTTCCTAGCAGAGAAATGGAACTTTAATACAGTTAGTTCCTCATGTTGTGGAACACACACAACCATAAAATTAGTTTTGTTGCTACTTCTAACTGTAATTTTGTTACTGTTATGAATTGTAATATAAACATCTGTGCTTTCCAGTGGTCTCAGGTGACCCTGTGAAAAGGATCCTTTGACCCCTGTCTTAGTCAGGGTTTCTATTGCTGTAACAAAACACAAAGCCCAAAAAGCAAGTTGCTGTTCATCACTGAAGGAAGTCAGGACAGGAACTCAAACAGGGCAGGATCCTGGAGGCAGGAGCTGATGCAGAGGCCATGGAGGGTGCTGCTTACTGGCTTGCTCCTCATGACTTGCTCAGCCTGCTTTTTTATGGAAACCAGGGACCACGAGTCCAGGAATGACACCACCCACAGTGAAATGACTTACAGCTGGATCTCATGGAGGCATTTCCTCAACTGAGGCTCCTTCCTCTCTGATGACTCTAGCTTGTGTCAAGATGACACACAAAACCAACCAGTACAACTTGACACACAAACACATCACTATTAAGCCACAACTCTTCCCTTCTTAATCATCTCCAAGATCTTACAGTAAAAACATAAATAACTTTAAAAGTCCCAAGGTCTTTACAAATTTAAACACATTAAAATTTCAGTCCCTTTAAAATAGCCTTTCTCTTCTAAAATCCAAATTCTTTTAAAATTCAAGGCCCTCAACTATGGGCTCCAGTAAAATACTTTCTTATTTCGAGAGGGAAGAATCAGGGCAGAATCACAATCGAACTAAATCCAACCATCCATTGACTAGGCCCCACTCGTGATCTTCTGGGCTCTTCCAAAGGGCCAGGGTCACTTCTTCAGCTCTGCCCTCTGCAGCACACACAGCTCATCTAGGCTCCTGCTGGCTGCTGCTGTCCTTGGTGGTCTTCCAATGGTACGGGTGTCTCCAAAATGCTGGGGACTCTGCTGCAACTGGGCTGCACTTTCTGTGCATGACCCCTTCAGTCCTGGGCCTTCAACAGCCACTGAGGCTGCAGCTTCACCAATGGCCTCTCCTGGCCTCTCACAGTGCCAAGCCTCAGCTGCTCTCCATGACCCTTTCAAGCCTTCAAAATCAGCACCACTTGGGTGACTCTATATTACCAAGTCCAGCAGTCAGCCTGAGTTACCACCTTGGCTGCTCCTCAAACACAGTTTCTTTACATTCTCAGGAAACACTTCCCAGGAGATTTCACTTCAGCGATGCCAGTCTCTTCTTAGTCATCGCTAATTTGTCAGCTCCAGCCAACCAGCATCAAGCAGCCCAGCAAAGCAAGGTTTCGATTTATTAGTTCTGGTATCTTGTTAATCACAGATGATTCTTCAGCCCCGGCTAACCAGAACCACAGACTCTTAATTCAAAATAACAAGTAGCCCCGATAGAGACTTTAAACTTCCCTCTGAAACTTCACAAGCCAGGCCTCCATCCCCTGCACTGCTCTCAACATTCCTGTCTTCTAAGTTCCCAAAGAAGTGAAAATCAGGTGTGACACATGACTCTTGAAGAGTTTTAGCATCAACCTGACAGAATAGCTCAGGTCAGTGAGCTAATTCAGAGACTGTCATCTGTCCCTCCATAAGCCTCTGGCGTGGGAACAGATGTGGACCATTTAGTGGCCAGGCAGATGAACTGGTCAGCATGGAGAGCACCTGCCTTCCTAAAGCTCAGATTCCCAATACAAGAATCAAGAATCACTTCCAGTGCAGTGAGGTGCTCGCCCTGCAGGGCCTCAGCCTCAGAGAGCAAGGAGCCCCCCTCTTCCATCTTTCCTACCTCTGGGGCCTGTGCCTGCTGGAAGGAATTGAAATCACTACATCACTGAATAGCTACAACATTCAGGAGAGTGGGCCCTGTAACTCACCAGGGCAACACAAGAGAGCCTACCCTGTTAGCACAGGTGTGGATGAGCCAGCCCCAAAGCTGTGAGCATGGGAGAGCTGCCCAACATCCACCCCATCTCTGACCTGCTGGAACACATGAAGGGACCTGACCCACAGACCCAAAGTTGCAGGACCTCCACAACACAGGCAGCAGAATATCCAGAAGAGTCCGGGGGTGGGGACAGCTTTGAACATGTAGTAGAGACTCGGGGCCTTGAACCAGACCAATAACTCTTTGTAATTAACACTTGCAAGTAGAGATATATGGACAAAGGGTGTACAGCATGACGCCTTGGGTCACACTGCAGCGTCCATGATGTTTAATTCCTTCCCTTTTCTTTATTTTTCTTGTTTTATTTTCTTCCTTTTTTTCTCTTGAATTTTGTTTTATTCAGGTGGGGAGTTGCAGGGGCCAAGGGGGGGATGAGAAGGGATGGGGAATGAATGAGATCAAGAATACATAATGTGAAAAACACATAGAATAAATAAATAAATAAATAAATAAATGTGAAATCACTTAACAATTTAAATTTTGTCTCCTTCTCTCTCCGTTTTGTTCCAAATGTGTAGTTGAATTTGAGCAGGTTGAGTGTATAGTCTAATGAAGCTTTAAAACTCTTAAGCAAAATAGAAAAGCAGGGCATTCTTTGTGTGATAAACCTACCAATTAGCGTTCTGTGCCATGGGGCAAGTCACACTGTTCAGTACATAAAGGCTTCGGTGTGGGAAACCACAACCTTTACTCTATTAGCTCAGGGCACATGTGCAGCCCATGCCTCCTCCATGCGAAGGCTGCTGTGGGCATGCTTCTAGTCAGAGCTGTGCCTTAGATCTGTATTCCACCCTAGTGAAAAGACCAGCATAGAGCCCCTCGAAATCCTTTACCTGGTTCCTCCTATTGCTAACAGTGGGATAGAAAGGAGAACTGCTGATGAGCTAGAGTGGGAACAAGCTGCAGGAGCAGTATTGTTGAACTTGGTCATGACCAGAGCACAGCTCTCAAGCCAACATCTACATGACCACCAAGCAAACAGTCCCCTCGTTTGCCTGACCCAACATTCCAGGCAGTCAGGAAGAGTCCCGGCCTCTTCCAGATGAAAACAGCACATGCCCTTTGCTTTCCAAAGCAAACTGTCAATCACTGATCCTGGAATACCACCACACAAACACACACCCTAGTGCCCCATCTGGGCCCCTCCAAAAATGTTAGTTGACCCAGTAACCTGCCAATCAATCCTTCTTTTGTAAAAGGCAGGATTCTTCATTGGCACGCGCGTGTGTGTGTGTGTGTGTGTGTGTGTGTGTGTGTGTGTGTGTGTGTGTGACATGCATGTGTGTATGCATGTTTACCTGTGTTGTATATACATGTAAGTGCATTTATGTGTACACGGGTGTGGAGTAGACCAGAGGTTGACATCAGGTGTCTTCCTCAATCAAAGAGTAGAATTATTTATAAACAAAGCAGCTTTTAAAAACGGAACCAGGGGCCTGAGGGTGTAGCTCCATTGGTAGAATACCTGCCTGACACACACAAATCTTTACAGCAGGATTTGATCTACAGCACAGCCCACAAAACAGAATCGAGGAGTCTGGCTGTGGCCATGCACCCCACCTTCTTCACTTCTTAGGATAGCTCACCTCTGTTGAGCAAGAATCCTAAGAGGAAAGCCAGTTCTACGCTTGTTCGTGGCTACAGACTTCGTTAAATACTTGGTGGAAATAATTGTGGCCAAAACAAAGGCAAATGCACAATGCCCTGTTGTTAGTACTGTCTCCTGGGTTCATCATTAGAACTCCTGGAGCCTTCCACTAGCAATTCATAAATAAACCAACAGGAAAAACAATGACTTAAGAGAAAAACAGATGAAGTCTTAATTAGTTAGTGACACACAATTACTTCCAGTAACTAGATGAAGGGAAAGAAGAAAAATCAAATAGTCCCAGAGATGAGAGCCCCTTGGAGCACATGAAAACAGAGCGCAGAGATGAGCACCCCTTGGATCACGTGAAATAGTCCCAGTGATGAGCACCCCTTGGAGCACGTGAAAACAGAGCGCAGAGCTGCCTGGTACTCACTGTTCCTCTTGTACATCAGAATTTCAAAGGAATTCATCTCGTAGTTCTCAAAGGTCTGGCGAACCTTTTCAATCGTGTCCTTATCGGTCAGCTCTCCATACATAAAACTGAAAGTCAACCAGGAAGCCCATTAGCAACTAAACAAGCATTCATTTGTCTGCAAGTACATGTTCCACCTCAAGCACTGAACATACACACACACACACACACACACACACACACGAATACACACACACACACAAATACACACACACACACACGAATACACACACACACACACACGAATACACACACACACACGAATACACACACACACACACACACACGAATACACACGCATACATGAACACACACATTCAAACACACATGTGAACACACATATATGCATGCACACAAAAACATTCACAAACACACACACACACATACATACATGGATACACATGATGTAAACACACATGAACATATCTGCACACAAAAACATTCACAAACCTGCATACACACATGGATATACATACACATGTACATATGAACGCACTCATATACAATAAAAACATTAATTTAATTAAGAAGATTTGTCGATTTAACTGTTTTATTTTTTTAGTCTCCACTTCTGCCCCTTAAAACTAAGCTTCTAATGGCAGACATAGATGGGAAGCTGAGTCATGAACTAGAAGCATGAGTGTCTCAGGGCACCCAGGCAGGCCCTCTGCTCGGTCAGGCAAGGCTCCTGGTGTGTGACAATTACAAATGTAAGAGCCATTCTAGAACCTGGGAATGCATCCATTCCACATGACTGCAGGGCAGACAGGGAAGGGAAGGGTTTCAGCAGAGAACATGGAGAAGACAGAAGACACTATAGCATTCTCGGCCATGAAGGTAACCGAGATTGTAGCCTGTAACCAGCCAGAAGGCCTGGGATGGGTTTAAACAAAGGAGAAATAGTTAGATTATATCTTAGAAATGCAACTCCAGATTTCTGAGGAAATGACTGGGCAAATTTGAACCATGGATTTTTCTTCTAATTCCTGACAAAATAAACTGGAGTGGGGGAGGGGGCACAAGAAGTTACTGAATAAGAAGGGGGGGTACAAGTTGATGCTCTAGCTTGAAGACCCAGCTAAGGAAAGACAGAAGCTTCTGCCACTGTCTGTGTGACTTTCTCCTGACTCCTCACCCTCTGAAGAAGACAACAGCACTGGGTCGAAAGAACTGAGAAAATAAAACCCCACAAGCCTTAATAATACATCTTCCTGCTGGAAAAAGCAGCCTCAGGAAGTAAGTGCACCGCGTGTAAAAGATCGGAGAAAATATCAGGATGGTAGGGCACTGCCTGCGAGCCCTGGCTCTCACCAGAGGCAGGAAAGATGCCAGAACTGTCACCAAGGCTCATCCTCCAAGAGCAGAATAAATCCTCAACTAAGTAAGATGAACAAGGGCACAGGACACAAAAAAATGCAAGAAGAAATGGACAGGAAAGTCATGCTCTCTGACACCACCACTCAGGGTCCAACAAGCACCCCTCACAGACCCCAGGCCTTCCAGCAACATGGGGAGGCTGTAGTGATCCCTGCCTATAGCCTGAGGCCATGCAGAAATGGGAGTGTGGGCTCAAAACCATGCATTTCCCATCTTCTAATGCCACACACTGAATGTGTTCTAGCTTTTTCATGAAAACTTGACTCAAGGAATCATGGGATTTTAGCCCAAAGAACCTCAAAAAAATAAAATAAAAACAAAAACGTACTATCAAGTACAATTCTGACCTAGACCAAACCTCCAGTAAAGCCCGATGCCGGGCTTGGACGCTGGACCAAGGCTCACTCCAGGCTTCCCAACTCTGGCATTCTGAAAGGAAAGACTCCTAGGTGCTATTTTCTGATTCTGGTGTCACTTTGTCATTCTATGTTCCTTCTAGCCACTGAGAGGTGTGACTGACTATGTGGACTTCCTTGTAGAGGTTCATGTAGTGTTTTAGGCTTCAGAACTGTACTTAAGACCTAGATGCCAGGAAAATGGAAAGGAGAACTTGGAGATATCTCTACAAAGAAGAATAGATCAAGACTAAATCATCCCAACCTGGGAACAAGATGGCCTATCTATCTATCTATCTATCTATCTATCTATCTATCTATCTATCTGTCTGTCTCTCTGTCTCTCTCTCCCACTTCCTCTCTCTCTGAGACATTTTTCTGGATCAATGGCCTTCATTTAAGGGAAGTGCTGGTACCCACAGCTACAGTTTCCTCACAAGCAAGTGGAACCCCAGAACTCCCATCTGGGTCCCCACAGATAAAGTGTAAGGTTACACCCATTTGCACTAGGCTCACAGACTTCTCCAAGCTGTAGCTCACTAATATGTGAACATTTCCTTTACTGGACACCAGAATGCAACTGTCTACTGTGCGGAAATAAGGAAAAGAGAAGGCCTGATCAACCAGGACAGCAGTGGGAACAGACAGGAGGGGAGTGCCCGGGTGTTGTGGCCGAATACACTGCTTAGAACTGTATAAAAGAAAAGTTGGTAAACTCATCGAGGGAATGCCTCTGTGGTCCTACAGGTGAGTGCAGCCAATAAGTGAGCAATATAGACTTGCGCTGGTTTGTAAGGGAAGTGAAGCTAACTCCTGAGATTTGTCAGTTGTCAGTCTGCAGGTGGAGATGGACAGATAAGAACAGATACTCAATGGAAAATAGCACACCGAGAATGCAGGACGTTCGTGTACACTGAAAACACTATTTCCAAATCTATAACGGAAGCAAAGTAAAACCACCCATTTATCAGGCTCAACAATTCACATACTGTCCCAGCATGTAATAGTTTGTTAGCAGTTGATGTGGCTGATCTAACACATGAAAACACAGGGCAGGGCAGGCATCTCCACACTCCATGATGAGTTTACTTCTTGGTTTAGACGATGGTTCCACTCCATGAATACACCACAGAAGATGGGGTGGGGGTACCCAGAAGCCATGCCAAGCCAGGATCCAACCATGGCTGCAGAGGAATGCCTGGCAGAGTCCAGGGTGCATGCCAGCTCAGCACCTTGGAAACAGCGTTTCTAACTTCCAGGCTCAAGGTCCTGAGGTGTTCCTATGAAATGCACAGCTATGCATGTCACACAACAGATGACAGTGTGCTTTCTCCTCTAAAGAATTCTGGCTGAAGAAAAGTGTGCAAACGAGGCCTTAACTTGTAATTCCTCTCCATAAAATATTCATAAAGCTTTAGAAATTTGGGCTGGGGATATAGCTCAGCTGACAGAGTGTTTACTTGCCTAACAAGCACAAGGCCCCAGGTTCAATTCCCAGACCTGCATAAACAGGTCACACTGGCACACACCTGTCTATAATCTCAGCACTTTTGAGTCTGAGTCAGGTACATCAGAAGCTCCACGTCATCTTTGGCTAGCTAGCAAGTTTGAGACCAGCCTGAGCTACACTGCTGTCTTGACTTAATTAATTAATTCAAAAAATTTTAATGTAATCATCAAAAGCTGCATTTTATTTATATTAAATTCTGTTTAATTTTCTAACTATTACATTCAATTCTATCTGAACCTCATAAAGTTCTGAGTTCACATCTATGGTGGGTCAAAAGCATGGCCCCCAAAGAGAGTGGCACTATTAGGAGGTGTGGCCTTGTTGGAGGAAGTGAGTCACTGTGGGGGCAGGCTGTGACGTCTCTGCTCAAGCATCCCTCAGTGTGACAGTCAGTTGACTTCCTGTTGCCTGCAAGATGCAGCTGTTGCTCCAGTGTCACATCTGTCTGCACGCTGCCCTGCTCCCATCATGTTCATAATGGACTGAACCTCTGAAACCGTGAGCAAGCCACTCATGATTAAATGTTTCCTTTGTAAGAGTTGCTGCGGTCATGGTGTCTCTTCACAGTAATAAAAACCCTAAGACAATGTCATAAAGATTTTTCTGTTTTCCATTCCCCATCTTACTGACTGCTGGCTTGTCAGTTGTAGGAACCGTGTTCTACATCTCCATTGGTGTTTCCAGCACGTGCACAAACTACAGGAGTCATGACAATAAAATTTCACCAGAAGGGGGTACCTGCAAGCACTGCTTTTTTGCATCACTTCCGCCCGGTGGTAGCCAGACAGTTTGCAGAATCCATCATTGCTGTACACGATGGGCCAGTCCACTATTTGGGCATTCCCCAACACAAAATTAGTATCTGTTTCAAAAAAGAAAGAAAGAGCACTTGAGGCAGGGTGTCAGTTGACATGAATAATTTCAGTAGTCCTGAAGCTTATAGATACAGCCTCTCATAGAGAACCAAGTCCCCAGAGAGAATCAAGCTTTGGAACTGGAAATTATAAACGTAAATACTAATCAAGGTCAGTGTATCCTAGGAAAGGAATCGTGGTTAGCCACCAACCCAGGAACCTACAGGAGTCTGTTGAGTTCCTCTGAGAAAGAGTAAAGCCCTAATTTTTCATCCCTCTGGAAGTACAGCCATAATATGAAGCAGAAGAGCCAGAGCAGTTTCTTCTGGGCTCTGTGTGGCACCTTAGCCTTATTCTCTTGCCCAAAGGACACAAATTGGCTTTGTTGACCCTGACAAGCCCTGGCCATTCTACAAGGCCTTTCTATGGAATCGGGGGAAGTGGGTAGCATATCACCTCGCACGACACATAGGAGAAACCTCATGAGGACAGTGGCCTGCTGTAGAGAGCCATCAAGGGGCTCACACCACAGAACCGCCTGTGACTTTGAAATCCTGCAGCCACAGATCTGCGTGACAGTGGCCAGCCTCCTGCTCGCTCGGGAGCCAGGGTTTAAGGAGGCAGACAAGCAGGCTGGCTTAGTTGTTTTCTCATGGTTTTAACATTTTGAAAATCAAAAGTCGTCAGTATCTTTTGTGCTCAAGAAATTAAGTGTCCCTCTTTTGATCTCAATAATTTAAATTGAACAGATAAAGTAAGAGTCTTTGACATAACCATTATTTTAGCCTGGCTCCCTCCTCTGCACATATTCCCACGCATCTCACCCCCTAAAAGAAATGCATACATGCTCATTCCTGTTATGAATGGGAGAGTATACATCTCATATGTGTGTGTACACATAGTGATATAATGGTTCTTTCTATTGGGAGGCTAATTTGTTCTAGAATAGCATTTTTATACTGTGTGTGCATCAGTGACTTCCCATGAAACATAGTCCCTGATTTTTCCGTATCACTGAATACACATCAACAAAACAAAGCGACTTCATTATGTGTGCATGTACCTGTCTGTGTGGATGTGTGGACTTGTGTGCATGAGTGTAAGTGTGCATGCAGTGGATGTGTGCACATGTGTGATGAGTGTGTGTGTGTGTGTGCATGCAGTGGATGTGTGCACATGTGTGATGAGTGTGTGTGTGTGTGTGCATGCAGTGGATGTGTGCACATGTGTGATGAGTGTGTGTGTGTGTGTGCATGCAGTGGATGTGTGCACATGTGTGATGAGTGTGTGTGTGTGTGTGCATGCAGTGGATGTGTGCACATGTGTGATGAGTGTGTGTGTGTGTGTGCATGCAGTGGATGTGTGCACATGTGTGATGAGTGTGTGTGTGTGTGTGCATGCAGTGGATGTGTGCACATGTGTGATGAGTGTGTGTGTGTGTGTGCATGCAGTGGATGTGTGCACATGTGTGATGAGTGTGTGTGTGTGTGTGTAGTGGATGTGTGTGTGTGTGCGATGAGTGTGTGTGTGTGTGTGTGTGTGTGTGTGTGTGTGCGCGTGTAGTGGGTGTGTGCACATGTGCATGAGTGTGTGTGTGCGTGCATGTAGAGGTCAGAGCTTGACCGTAAGCATCTTCCTGACTGCTCTCCACCTGATTTTTGAGAGGGTCTCTGACTGAACATGGAGCTCACAGACTCTGCTAGGCTGGCTGCTGAGTGAGCTCCAGGGATCCACCTGTTTCTGCCCATCCCAGTGCTGGAGTTCCAGGCATACACCGCTGTGCCCGCCCTTCACACGAGCAGTGGCGATCAGAATGCAGGTCCTCAGACTTGCAGCAGGCGCTTCACCCACTGAGCCACCCGTTGTTCCTGAGGACAGCATCTATAATTCACTGAGTGCAGGTCACCACTCTTCCTGTCTTCATGGAGTCAGACAGGCTGCTCTGCCCTCTGCAGATGAGTTTATTTCTTATTTGGCAGGTTTATAAAGATTATTACATTTCATAAAAGAAAAAAAAACACCAAAGACAGAAGATGTTTTACTACTCATGGAAAGGCAAGGAAAGAGAGACGCCAGAGGCTATGCTGAGCCAGGGTTTGGGGAGGGTGGGGATCATCTTCCCTGAGAATAGCTCCGTTTATTTGTTACTATCATTATTGACCTCATTATTGTTGTTGTTATAGTAGTCATTATTATTGTTGCTGCTGTTGTGTGTATGATGTCTGCATGGGCACTCGTGCTATGGAGTACCTGTAGAGGACAAGCTTATCGGTCTGTTTGTCCCTTCTACCTTAACACGGACTTCTGGGGGTCAAACTTGGTTGCCGAGCTTCTGTGTCAAGCCCCTTTACCCACTGAGCCATACCGATGGTCCTATTTGATCTACTTAAAAAGAACATAGCTTTCAAGATATGAAGGTGTACACCTCCTGCTTCCCCAGATCAGCTTCTAGTGAAAGCTCACAGCCAGCTCCCTCGATCCATCTCACCCAAACTAACACAAGTGCTTCTTAGTACCAAGCACAAGGCAGGATTACAGGGCGATCAGCCTGTGGGACATGGTCCCTGAACACAAGGAATGCCAAGGCAAATGGACATGTGCACAGCCACCTGGGGAAGGAGGCAGGCAGCTGACACATGCCTGTCACCCTAGCAATCAGCAGGCCAGGCAGAAAGATTGCCATATGAGGCCAGCCAGTGCTATATAACAAGGCCCTGTCTCACAAAACAAAACAAGGCCAGAATTGATCATCCTTAGGAGGCTAAAGATCTGAAACTCAACATTCTTGGCCACAAAGCGCATTTGAGGGCAGCTTTGGCTACATCAGGCCTCTCAGAATAATAAAAGAAGGGGTCTGGGGAGGAGGCTCAGCAAATTAATCACTTGCTGTTCAGGCACAAGAAGCAGAGCTCAGACCCCTGAAAGCCATGCAGAGCTGGTGTTTGTCAATCCCAGCACACAGGTGGGGAGAGGTAGGCAGAGGCAGGGGACTCCCTGAACCAGAGGGCCTGGCATACACACCAGTCAACAAAGCACCCACACTGCACATGAACACTCACACATAGGCAAACAATTTACTCTGTGTGGCAGCTTGAATGAGAATGGGCCCCATAGGCTCATATATTTGAATGTTCGGTCCCCAGTTATGTGGAAGGTTATGTGAGAAGGTGAGAAAGTGGTCATCCCAGCACAAAGCCCCCAACAATCATGACATTATCTCCTCTCCCTCACATATATTCCCTTTAACCCTAACTGTAAACAATGGCCTGAACATTACTGTCCAGAACAGTGTGTCTGTATGCTGGGGGTACCACACACCCCTGTGATCTGCCATCCATGGCTAGGAATGAAAGGAGTGTGCTGTCAATGGTAACAATGAGGACAGGGCCATTAACTGGCATCTGCTCTGAGTCAGGCTTTCCTATAAGATGAGATTTTTTTAACCTTTTCAGTAACCTTTATGAAGGGGTATTACTAATGCAGCATCACGGATTTCATCATCTGATTCATGGGGAAACTGAGTCTCTTTGGATACCCAATAGGCAGCTAAATTCACATGAAGTTGGGGCTCAAAACCAGGTCTACATGACTTCAAAGTCCATGCTCTCCATCGTTTATCATGCAGTCTCCTCACTCCATTAAGTACTAAAACCAAACCAGTTCTGTGATTTATCTGCATCTGAAACTCTAAATACAATGAGACTTTTAATGGATGAATCAGCAGTCCACTCTGGCCACCATCTATTATGATGCACGAAGGTGCCCTCAGGACATGGCCAGAAGATGCTCCTCCATCTGCCAGCTTCTCCATGCTGAGTCTCTTCCCTTGCTTGAAAACTTCTTAGGATGTAGAATGCTGATCTATTTCCAGAATATTCCTCCACACAATCACAGAAGGGACAGATGGGAGATGAGAAGGGAAGGCTTGTGCCTGGCTCCGTTTGATTCTCGGAGGTGGGAGAGATCTCCACCTTGGGTGACACACGTCAGGGCCTCTCGGTTCCCCTGGTGTTGGGAGGGACACTGAAGTTCTGAAGTTGCCATCTTCCCCATGGCTGATGGATCTGTATAAGCAATGATTGTTATAGCAGTTCCTATAGTCAAGCTGCTCTCAGACTGCCCAGTGTTAGGATCAACTAGCCTGGTAGGGGCAAGTAAATATTGTAGGAGACCAAAAAGGCTAGTGGGGGTAGCCAGAAGATGGGCTGAGGGAGTAAAGGACAGAAACACAGAGGGAATAATAAATTATACAAAGAGGACAGAGAAACAGAACAGGAAAGGCTTGTCAGGAGTCGGGGCAGCGGGGACCAAGTTCTATTCAATCCAAGAGAACAGAATAAGAGTTGATCAAGTATAAACTTGGTCCTGACAGTTTCTGGGCACCCAGGGACTGGAGGAAGGAAGACAATGGCCGGCATTTAGGCATGTAACTCACCAGAGTCCTGGCAAGTGTTCTACCTGAACGTGACTGTGGAGAGAAGAATGCAAAGATGAGGCCAGTGTGCTGGTTGGCATCTGTCATATGAAGGAACAGGGAACCTCAACTGAGAAAATGCCTCCATCAGGTGGGACTGTAAGCAAGTCTGTGAGGCACTTTCTTGGTTGATGATTGTTGTAGGAGGGCCTGGCTCACTGTGGGTAGTGCCCTACCTGGGAAAGAGGAGGTCCTAGTTTATATAAAAAGGGCAAAAGAGAAAATGTGGGATCAAGTCAGTAAGCAGTGTGGCCCCTGCTTCAGTTCCTGCCTCCGGGATCCTGACTTGAGTTCCTGTCCTCTCTTCATCTTTGATTATGGACTGTAACTGTGAGGTAAAAGAAACTCTTTCCTCCCCAAGTGACTTTTGATCATGGTGTTTATCATAATAGAAACCTAACTAGGACTAACGGGAACCCCCAAAAAAGATCCATTTACCCAAAAATCTCCTTCACAGAGGAATCTAGACATCTGCCTGCCATAGGACAGACAGGCTCAGAAAGACAGAATCCAAAAAATAAAAATAAAGTTAAA